GTTTTGCAAATATCTCAGCATCATTAAAGTTATATTTCGCAATATATACCCTGCCGTTAAAAAGAGTAGGCAGTAAATAACAAATTGAAATTATTCTAAGACCATTATAATTCCATCAGACATCATTTCTGCTAATTCGTTAATACGTTAAATACGCTAAATAATAATACGCTAATAATACGTTAAAATTTTGATTAAAACTGTAGCCTTAGCCTAACCGGGTTCGTTGTCGATTTGGGCTCCCCAGATCAATCCTGCTGACGGATGATTGCTGATTGCAGAGATCGATAGAACTAGCTGAGAGACAGGGGAAACGAAGGACCCGCGTGGTGTGGTGGTGAACGCGTTACTCCCCGGAAAGGACAATAGCGCGTTTGTTTCCCACTACAGACACCTGTGGTCCGGAGTTTTGCAAATATCTCAGCATCATTAAAGGTCTTAGAATACGCTCGGTAAAACGCCGAATTGGTAGCCAAAGGAAACCTTGAAGACCGGAGCTATCGTGTTCTCAAGCCAAAAAAGTTAACTGATGTAGCTAAGATGAACTGACTAAAAAAATCTAAGGAATTAACCAAAATCTTCCATACATCGCGATCCACAAGTGTCATCAACTACTCACTAGCATTTTTGCTTATAACCCTGGATTTTCCAGTTGCCCAAAAAGACCCTTTACCAAACCTTCCAGCCAAATGAACGTGCAACCAGAGAAATCATTCGAAAATACAAGTCATCCGAGCATTTCATAATATCTACTATGTAAACAAGGTAAGAAAAGGTAATTCTAAAATGCTGACTCGTTTATCCAAAGACGGTTTTAGGAACGAAGGCAGCAAAAGGCTTCGTGGCTAAGCCTATGAAATAAGTAAGTCTCCTTGTAACAAGTTGCTCTTGAATCAATGGAAACAAGGAAATTAGCATAATCTCGCACTTCTATTATTACTCCTGAAAAACCCATTATTAAAATATTACCGTCAAAACTACAATGAATTTCTGGAACTCCTGAGGCATATCAATCATAGCTTCGGCTTTATTATCGTATAAAACTTTTGTTACAGTGTCACTTTTAGTGAGACAGAAGTGTCCTATTCCAGGAAAGTCTGCAACAAAATGTACTTTTACTGCTGGAGTAGGTAATGAAAAAGCATCACTAGTCCACTCAAATCAGTGAAACACTGATAACTTACATGTTGGCACTGGCATACCGGTATCGGGCTCAGACTGCATCGCATAGCACAGCAATGGATTATAGTAGACGACTGCTTTGATTTGTTTGCCTATTTGTGTCACAAAAGCCCCATAACCGCTCTCTTCTGCGAATTTTTTGATCCCTTTTGATACCTGAATGAAGGTTATTCAACATCCCATCGCTAGTTGTGGGACCGTTTCCGTTGCAAAAAAAAGTAACCGTAGGACTATACAGACTGATCCAAGCATTCTAATTAGAACCTTCAAGCAAGCAATTTGCTGGCAGTCTAGAAATATTTGACTCTTCAAAACTAGATCTATTCAACAAATCACATAATGATAATGGAAAGGGAAAATTTCAGCGGTGTTCTAGGCCTTTCCAGACCAGAATCTCTGGTATGAAATGTCCATTACGAAAAAAATACATGAGCAAAACTGGATACAGCGGGCTTCCCTAACTTATTGTTAGAGAGCCTTCTTACTAAGCCATCGCCAGCACACGCCGGTAATGACCACAACTGCTTTGCTGAGGAGTAGCTTAACTATTTTCAAAACAGCACTCAATTGTGTAAACGATACAATCCACTAAATATTTTTGAGAGCTGCTTATCTAGTTATTAGTCCGTTTTCACTCTAAAGGTGTTATTGATCCTTGCTCAAGCTGTTTTCCCCAGTAAACGAAGTGTTTTTGATTCCACCTTAATACAGTGACTATTTCCTGCTGAAAAGTGACTTACACTGTTTTACCGTTGCAAGCCTAAACCACGGATTCCTTGAAAATTTGATAACTAAACCCACTTACCGCTTTTTTAACGTATTTTTGAAGATTTTCTACAGCCTCTTCAGAAGTCTTTTGGACCAATGGATACTCCACAGTGACATTCAGTGATTGTGAATAGGTAAATACCATAGGCAACTTGATTCCACTCACCATTAATGGTACCTTCCTTTCTGAAATCGTCATTATTCCAAGAATTCTTTGCCTCAGAAACTAGAAGAAAACATTTTCTAGTACTAGCAGTGTAATGTAATGCCTCCCAACGGTTTGCCTCCTTATTGGGGCTGGGAGGTGTTCCTGGGTGTTGGGCTGCGATGTACAGCTAGGGATTCATCCCACCAGCAGAGTCTCTCAAGCTGAGAAGGACTGCGGCGTTTCCATCAGGAAGCCCACCTTACCACGACCCGCAACTGTCCTGGTATCAAATTAGTCGCAGTCGCAAGGTTGTAAATCACAATTCGATCCACAAAGGCGGCGACTACCTGTTGTGGTAAAGTCCTCCTAGGTCGGCAAATTCGTACCTGATCTGTCTACGAGAAAATAAGCACTGACTGGTTACATCGGTAGGCTACACGAATTATATGAGAGAAATATGTATTCAATCATCTCTAACGATATTTAGTGAACTCGAATGCACGGTTCATGCCTAAGGAGTTGATCAACTCCAACAACCTCATCCTCTCTTTTACTAGTGTAGTGGCATTCTTCACCTGAAAATAACACATACCTTGACCAGGTGGAAGAGAAGAACAAGCGTGTAAAATAGCGGGTACGGCAAGAAGACCAGCGACGTAGAACATCATGTTCAAACTCATCGAATTCCGAACAGCTATGCTTTATAAAGGTTTTAGGTTATAAAAAACTGTTTCGTTTCATGTTATTCACTTTTACGATAGGTTTTCGGTATTCTTATCATCGAAATTATGCCATATAAAATTGTTTAACAACAGTGATTCAGCAGATGAATGGGAAATGCGCAAATAGTGCCAAGTTCTTGGAAGAGTGTAAGCCATTGGAAATTTCTGCAAAGTTGCTGATTTTGCAAGTAAAGAGGTAATTCTTAACAACTCGAGCGTTTTTTTTTTGGTAAGTAATTGTTCAGTTCCATTTCAGTGGTGACTATAATTCCAATAAAGCAGCAATTTCATCATAATGTTACGTTTTTATTCATTTCCTATTATTGTTTTTCATGGCCGCTTATGATGTGAAATGCAACCACTGCGATGCCAAGATGTTTACAAAACTTGGACCCCAGATCGGAACGCGACTACCCTTTCCGAGTGCTTACGTGTTACGCACAGCATCACTGAGGCCCATGATTTTCCTTTCTCTCAGCCAGTTTTAGTTTTATTACACTTAGTTTTCAGCGCAAGTTAGGGAAGCTGCATGTAAGTATATGTATATGTATATGTATATGTATGTGTATATGTACATATAAACGTATACATATATATATATATATATATACATAATACAGTGGTTAGACGTGTCCTGCAATAACACGAAGTCGTTGGTTTGAATTGGTGGCTCCGCAAGGATGGATTAAAACGGTAAGTTACTTTTTTTTTTTTGATTAATCACACCGAGGTTTAGGGAAGGTCGGTTTCGAAATATTACTACGCTTTGTGCTAGCTGATAATACACCGACCTCTGCACGATGTGCGCAGTGATGTATGTCCGGAAGAAATACAAGTTGTTACCACCGGACATTGTCATTATATATCCACCATCAGCATCGTGTATAAAAGGGCATCACTAAGTGAGGATGCCTCATTCGAGAAGATGGCTCACTGAGGAAGATCTGGCTCGACACGAAGGCGAAGACGCAACGTCGAGGCGAACAACAAGCATGGACCATCGACTCGGATCACCGGCTCTGAGGAAGACGAAGACGTCGAAACGTTAGCCGAAAATAAATATATTTATCAACCTCGTGTAAGCTTATCAAGAAAGAATACATATTGGGTAAGTCACTTTGTTAAGGGAATGCCAGTTAGTAAGTGACTTGACGTATCGGTAAGCCACCGCTAGTCATTGTATAGGCCATATATGTATTCATTTACCTGTACGAAGATAGAAATGGAATCGAATGCATGGTGCATCTCTCAGAATTTGAGCAACGGGGCGATTTCGTGCACGTTCCTCCTTCTAGGACTTCTTATGAGATTTTTTGTTCGCAATTTGTTGAGTTTTGGTGTCTTTGACTTTTTACCTCCGTTCTTTTTCTGATCGATTTTTAGTTACTGAAAGCATATGTAAAATATTCATTCACCTCCAAACCATGCTTAATGAAGTCGAATGCAGGCGCATCCCTCAGGGATTGATCAACGCCGATAGCGTTATCCTTTTAACTTTTGGTGATCTTCCTTTTCAATGATGCTGAGATATTTGCAAAACTCCGGACCGCAGGTGTATGCGGTGGGAACGAACGCGCTATCGCCCTTTCCGTGGAGTAGCGCATCCACCACCACACCACGCGGGTCCTTCGTCTCGCCTGTCTCTCAGCTAGTTCTATCGATCTTTTGCCATCAGCAATCACTCGTCGGCGGGATTGATCTGGGGGCCCAAATCGGCAACGAATCCAGTTAAGTTGATGGCAAAAGATCGATAGAACTAGCTGAGAGACAGGCGAAACGAAGGACCCGCGTGGTGTGCTGGTCGACGCGCTACTCCCCGGAAAGGACAATAGCGCGTTCGTTCCCCACCTCGTACACCTGCGGTCCAGAGTTTTGCAAATATCTCAGCATCATTGAAATTATATTTCACAATGTATACCCTGCCGTTAAAAAGAGTAGGCAGTAAATAATAAGTTAAAATTGAGATCTTCCTTTTGTTGTGAGCTTAATTGCCCGCTAACAGCTCCTGTGCTTTTCTTCTTAAAACAAGCTGTATCTAGTAACTATTCCTTAAATAGTTCCTATTCTCTACACTATCACATGTGTCCTATATTAACTATTTACTTATAACGGTCGTGGTAGTTATTCCACGTACAGTTGGCGGACAAAAGACAAATCCGACCAACTCCCTAATCCACTGGCCAACTAGCACAATGTAACAGAAATTCTTAAAATGATGAGTTAAAAATATGGCTAGATGTTTTCCTCGCATAGTAGCTATTAATATTTTTCTGTATGTTACAATATCCAATACAGCATGGTTCACCGCCTAATCGTGGCTGGGAGGTGTTCCTGGGTGTCGGGCTGCGATGTAAAGCGGGGATTTATGCTCCAGCAGAGTCTCCCAAGCTGAGAAGCAATCCTACGTTTCCATCAGGAAGCCCAGCTAAGAATAAATCATGTTGACAAGTCAATCAATAAACATTATATAATAGAAAATAATGTTCTCTATTCTAACTCTATTCTTTATGTGTTTTGATGGTGCTAAGTGCCCTACATTCATATCCCATCCTAAACATCGGGCACGCCAGTAAATACGGAAAGTATAACCATCAGATACACAAGCGGGCATAATACTAGACATGACGCATTGTTTAGGGGCGAGACCTCGCGACTCGTGGCGGTGAACTCGCGACCCACGCCACTCGCTCGGTTCCAACCACAAACCAATACCAGGTTCCACCACCGTCCCGCCATGAAAATAGTCGCATGGTGGCAAATTCCACTTGGACCCAAAAGGGCTTGGAGCTGCTTGTGGTGGTGACGACCTGGGGCAGACAAGTCAGGCTGGCCTTGGGACTCCAAGGAAACATAATGACAACACCACCAAAACTCCGAAGAATGGTGAATATGCTAGGGCCCGCACAACCAGTGTGCACGGGCCGTACAAGTATCCAAGTAAACATATTACGATATTAATGGCTATAATGTGAACAAAATGTGTTTTTTGCGCTTTGGTGCGTCTTTTTTTTATTTCCCATGACCCATCATCACACCTACTGTGAGGATCCCAGCATTTCTCGCATTCGATTCGCTTTACCCGGATTCATCGTCAACAAAGGTCCTAGGACACAAGTTTAGCTTACTATTTACTTCCTACTTTTTTCTTTTAATGGCAAGGTATGTTGCGAAATATAACTTTAATGGTGCTGAGATATTTGCAAAACTCCGGACTCTGCGGTGAGGAACGAACGCGCTATTACCACTTCCAGAGGCTAACGCGCTCACCACCACACCATGTGGGATTTCAACTACAGCCTCAGCTTAACTGGGTTAATTCGCATTTGCGCTTCCCATATCAATCTCGTTGGCGGGTGATTGCTGATGGCACTGATCGATAGAATTAGCTGAGAGACAAGCGAAACAAGGGAGCCGCATGGTGTGGTGGTGAAAACGTTAGCCCCAAAAAGGATAATAGCGCGTTCGTTCCCCAACGCAAACACCTGCGGTCCGGAGTTTTGCAAACATCTCAACGACGTTGTGGTTGTATTTCGCTTATCGCTTAATCTGTCACTGTACTAGTAGTCTCACTAACTAGGAAGAAATTCCAACGACTTACTTTCTATTAACCTCGTCATTGATCGAACAAGCCTTTACATTCTTGTTGAGCAAACATGAGGTGTTATTAAGCTAGGAAGACGTAGGGCTAAAGTAACTGAGAAGTGCGCCAAGGAAAAGTGGCTTTGCAGAATAGCATGTCGCCGGAGCGTTAGGCATTGTGTAAAACAAGTGCTAACTTCGTGTCATCTCATAAAGAATGATGTTGAATTTCTATTTTCTGGTCACTATTTTTTATGGCAAGGTGTTATGTGATATGCAACTACAATGATGCTGAAAGATGAGCAAAACTCGGAACTCCAGTCGAGATTCGAACCTGCGATTGTCTTCTCTGGCTCACCTGTTGTCCACTGCACCATCGAGACCCTTGCTTTGCTTTTGTCGCAGCCAATTTTTTTACCCTAACGATGCTATAAGCAATCAACCATCAACGGAAATGATCTAAAGAGCACAAGTCAGCAACTTAGTTAAGCTGAAGATACAGTGGGAATGACAATGTTTAACTTTTCATTTGCTGTCTATTACTTTGAATAACGATGCTGATAGGGGCCTCGTTGGTGCAGTGATAACACATAAGCCCCAGAAAAGGTAATCGCAGGTTCGAAGCCCACCCGGAGTTCCAATGCTCATATCTCAACATCATTTCAAATATTATTGCAACGTAGTCTGAAAAAAGTAGATATCCATCAGTATGTATTCTTTCTTTGTTGAGCTTATATGAGGTTTATAAACAATTTTTATTCGCCTAACGTTCCGACGTCTTCGTCTTCATCACAGTCAATGATCCGAGCCGATAGTCTACGGTACTCCTTCGTCTCGATGTAACGTCTTCGCCTTCATACCGAGTTGTGTCTCCTCAGTGGACCACCTCTCGAATGGTAACAGTACCAACTCCAATAATGATACCGACTTCTGCAGGATTGATTGTTCTAGAAAAACAAGTTACTATTATCGTGCAATCACTGCTATCCGCTATCGGAGTTTTGTACAAAAGGGCATCACAGAGCAAGTATGCCACATTCGAGGAGATAGCCTGCTGAAGAAGGCCTGACTCAACACGAAGGCGAAGACGCCACATCGAGATGAAGAGCAAGTGTGGACCATCGACTCCGATCATTTGCTCTGATGAAACTGAAGACCAAACATCTTCATAACCAAACAGAGAAAATGCTGAACCAAAATTTCAATCACATTGAACACAGAGCCTTTGCACATTAGCCGCTTTCTATGAGTCTTCCACTAAATATGTCACGTGGAGACCAACCGCACAGGTTTTACATGAAAGCGTATTGTGCCCACATCATCAAAACAACAGGCTTGTATACTCACGCGCGATAATAAAGCATTCC